TAAATGGTGTTAGAACAATGAAATTCATTACAAAAGAATGAAACTGAAGTCATACTTCATTCTAGATGTGATATTAACTCTAACTTACCAATGACCCATTCTTCATCTGTTTTTCATTCTTAGCATAGTATACCATATGATTATCTGACTCAAAGTGGCCAAAGCTAGACCATTTATGTCAATGTTCAAGTGTTCCATTTAATTTTTCACAATTTCTCGTTTTACAACATTCAAGCTACATACATTGCATGTTCCAATTACTAAACAATGTTTACCATTTTGTTTCCTCATTTTGACCAACCTCCAGAATCTGGGCTCCACTACCACCACTACAACTATCCATGTTCCTCTAAAGTTCATAGGGCTTTCAGAGGTTTGTTATTTAAGAAGTGGATGATATCTTAATCTGCGAGTTCTACTAAAATCTTTCCACCCTGGTTAGCCCTTGTGGCATTTGACACACCAGTGGCATAGCTTTCAGTATCACAGTAACCCACAAATTATCTCAGTACAGTAAACTGACAAGAGTTGTACTGAAAACAGAACGGTGTTGCATTCATAGTAAAAAAGTACATTTCAAGTTCTATCCTTAAATACAATGTTGTGAGTGATAAGATATTATCCATATGAATACAAAGACAACCTGTTAATACAACTATTATGTGAATAAATGCTCCTACATCTACAGTCAAAGAGGGAAAAAAAATCTGAAAATTTTTACGAAATCTTGCAGTCTGAAGTTGATCACACATGAAATGAAGATGTGTTAATGATAAGTGTTGACTGGAATGCAAAAGTTGGAAATGGTGAAGAAGGAATAGTAGCTGGAAAATATGGGCTTGGTGATAGAAATGAGGCTGGAAATAGAATGATCAAATTTTGTATTTTCAATGAATTATTCATTGTAAATGTCGCTGTTTACCGCTGAGTTGGAAGTAAAACAGCTGACCCTCCAGTGGGTTTTCAGAGGCAGTTAAATAGCATGGAAGGAGATTGCCCATCTTCCTACAGAACAGCTGGTAGATTCAAACTATGTGCCTTTGGGATTGCAGCTCAGCTTCTGGCCATTAGGCCAACAATGTCTTTTTGAAAATACACAAACAATGACTTTACACATAGACCTCACCTGATGGGCTGCATAGGAATCAGACTGACTACAATTTTGAAAGGAATTGTTGGAGAAACTTAGTATCAGCAGTAAAAACCAGGCCAGGGGCAGACTGTGAGTCAGATCATCAATTACTCATGTACAGGTTTAAACTGAGGCCAAAGAAAAGTTAAAGTAGGTTCATGAGAGCAAAGATATGATCTTAAGTCTATTCCCTCTGAATTTCTGAAGGGCAGGTCTGAGGTACTGAACACCAATGATTGAAGACCAGATCAGTTATGGGATGATATCAACGATATCACCCATGAAGAAAGCAAAGGATACCATCCCTGAAGAAAACAAAGACAAAGAAGAAAAAAACCAAAATGGATGTTACAAGAACCTCTAAAAATTGCACTAGTGCATTGAGAAGCCAAAACAAAGGGAAAACACACTAAAGTACAAGAGCTGAACAGAAAGTTTCAAAGGGCAGCTCAGAAGACAAAGAAAAGTATTACAAAGGAATATGCCAAGAGCTGGAATTGGACAATAGAAAGGGAAAAGCTCACCCTGAATTTCTCAAGCTGAGAGAACTGAAAAGCAAATGTAAGCCTCAATTCACAATATTGAAAGATGCCATGAGCCATATATTGAATAACCCATAAAGAATCAAAAGAAGATGGAGGAAATACAGAGTCATTGTACCAAAAAAAAAACTGATTGACACTGGATAATTCTAGAATGTGCCATATGAGCAGAAGCCAATGGTAATGAAGGAGGAAGTGGAAGCTTCATGGTAGGCATTGATAAAAAATAAGGCCACAGGAATCGATGGGATACCAACTGACTTGCCAGTCTATCCTAGGAAATTTGGAGGACGGTTGTCTGGTCTACATATTGCAAGAGGTCCATATTTCTTCCCATTCTCAAGTAAAGTGATCCAACAGAAGGTGGAAAACTATCAAACAGTACCATTATATCACATGCAAGCAAAATACTTAAGACCATTAAAAATTGGCTAGAAATGAACATAGATAGGGAACTGCCCAAAGTTAAAGCAGGATTTAGCAGAGGTAGTGATACCAGGGTTGTCACTGCCGATGTCAGATGGATCCTGGCTAGAATTAAAAAATACTAGAAGAATGTCTATTTGTGTTTTACTGACTATGCAAGGCATTTAACTGTGTGGATGATAACAAATTATGATTAACAATGAAAAGAACAGGAATCTCAGAAAACTTAATTGTGTTTATGCAAAATCTATACCTAGACCAAGATGTTATTGTGTGAACAGCAAGAGAATACAACATGGTTTAAAATTTTAAAAAGTGTGTATCAGGATCGTAACCTTTTTCCATATCTATTTAATCTGTATGATGAACAAATTATTTGAGAAGCTGGACTCTATGAAGAAGAATTTGGTATCAGGATTGGAGGAAGATTCATCAATAATCTATGTTTTGGATAACAGAACCTAGTTTGCTGAAAGTGAGGAAAACTTGAATCACTTGTTGCAGAAGATCAAACACTTTGACTTTCAATATGTATTGCATCTCAATGTTTAAAAAAACAAAACTGTCACTATGGGACCAAAAAGCAACATTATGATAGATGGAGGAAAGATTGAAATCATAAATGACTTCATATTACTTAGATCCAAAATAATACACTTGGTACCAGCCATCAGAAGATCAGGAGACATACTGCACTGGGAAAGTCTCCAGTCAGGGATCTCTTCAAATTATTGAGGAGCAGTGATTTTAGTTTGAGGACTAAGATGCATCTGATTCAGGCTATGGTCTTTTCAATCAATTGCTATGCTGCTGAGAGCTGGACAAAGAATAAGGCTGACAGAAAAAGAACTGATGCCTTTGAACAGTGGTGCTGGAGAAGAGTACAGAATATCCTATGAACCACCAAAAGAACAGACAGATATGTCTTAGAGAACATGCAGCTGGAATGCTTCTTGAAGGCAAAGATGAAGCTTCGTCTCACATAATTGAGGCATGTTGCTCAGAGAGGCTATTCCTTGTAATGGGAACTGGAAAGGTGGAGACACAATGAAAGAAGGGGTGACCCTCAACCAGGTAGATTGAGATAGTCACTGCAGCAATGAAATTGTGTCAGAGATTGTGAGGATGGCACAGAATAGGGCGGGGTTGGGTTCAAGTGTGTTGTTCATAGGGATACTCTGACGGCACCTAACAACAAGGGGACACCAGAGCTCTACATTAGTCATTAGAGAAATGGAAAACAAAACTGCAGTGAGATATACTTCACCCCCACTTGATATAGGTGTTATGTACCATCAAGTTTGAAATGACTAATAGGTGACTCTCCGGCAGGTTTCAGAGCCTGTAACATCATAGGGGCGGAGAGTGCCCATCTTTTTCCTGTGGAGCAGCTGGTAGATTTGAACTGTCTGTCTTTGGGTTGGTAATGTAACTCCTTATCCCTATGCCACCACAGCTCCCTACTGTTGTTGTTATGTGCTGTCAAGTTGTTTGCGACTCATAGCAACCCTAATATACAACAGCCCTAAACTCTGCTCTGTCCTGTGCCAATTGCACTGTCTCTGACACTCCCATTCCGATTACCCCAGTCACTGAATCAATCCACCTCATAGAGGGTCTTCCCCTCCTGCGGTGTCCCCCTACCCTCCCAAGCATGATGTTCCTCGCCAAGGACTCCTTACATGTCCAAAGTATGTTAGATGGAGCCTCAGAATCCTATTTTCAGAAAAACAAACAAAAAAAAACCCAAAAAACAAAAACAAAACAAATGCTGGAGAAGAGGAGCAACCTTCATTTGCTGATGACACTGTTATTTCTCAAATAATTAAACACAGAATTACCATATGTCCCAACAGCAATTCTATTCCTAGATATCTACCCAAAAGGATTAAAAGCAAAGACTCTGATACTTGCATATCAATATTTAATGCACTATTATTCACAACAGTCAAAAGACAGACACCACTCAAATGTTCTTCAAGAGATGAACGGATAAATAAAAAATGGTAATACCCATACTGTGGAATGTTATTCAACCATAAAGAGAAATTAAGTTCCTATTTTAACATAGATGAGTTTTGAAAATATGAGGCTTGGTGAATTAAGTCAGACACAATAGGACAAATATGGCTTGATTCCACTTATATGAAATATCCAGAATACACAAATAGGCATACAGACAAGTTTATTAGTGCTTACTTAAGCTGGGGGGTGGGGGGGGAGAGGAAATGAAAAGTTACTTAGAGGATAATTTCTAAGATAGGCAACAGAAAAATTAGGAAATGGATAGAAGTGTGATTGTAGAACATGGAGAACATAATTAACTGTATATGGAAAGGCTGAAATGGCAAAAGTTTGGTGTGATATATGTGTGTGTGTGTGTGTGTGTATTTATTTATTCTCATACCTACACAAAAAAGTTTATAAGCCAACAGGACAGACATCAGGGTTGGGGGGAGTCCAAGAGAAGAGGTGATAAGTAATGTATACTGCATTGAAACAGATGAGGGAGAGAACTGTTTGAAAGGAATATATGACTAGGTATTATTTTCATGCCAAGATTCTAGAACGAGAGCTTCATGGGGGTGTGGGCTGGGGGGGAATTGTATGATAATAAAAGGGTTTTGTTTGGTGTTTTTTTTTTACTTTTCAAAGAGAAAAATCAACTGGGGGGAGGGGTGGGCAAGGAGGAAAATGTGCAACAATGAATGAATAGAAATCCAAAGTCTCTATAAACTTTCATTAAAAAAGAAAGTTTATAAGCCAGTGATGGAGGCCAATAGGTGTGATAATCGGACTTGTAGAAATATAAAATCTGGACAGTAAACAGAGACAACACAGAACAGGTGTTCCCTTAAAAAAAATTGTATTTAATTTTGAAAGAGAAAAGTAAAGAATACCTTGGCACTGGGGCAGCAGGTACATAGGACCCCGTAATGTTG